ATTCTATCTCTTTCCCTTTCTAACAAACCAACAACAACAACAACCATTAACCATGCATATTCGTGCGCCGATTTTGGTTGCTGTCTTTTGGCTGCCCATTTGGATGAATAATAGGTAAAGAAAGGAAACTTCAAAGTGGAGTCGAACATAAAATGAAGAAGTTCAGTGGTCTAAGGTTGCAAAGTAATTGAGAAGATGCACGAACGCCACTGGTTGCGACACCCAGCCATACCACTCAGTGTCTCTAACCATCGGTCGCAATCATCCCGAGGTCCCCAGCCAGGGAGCCTAACCCTGAGGTAGATACGGTTCCAGAAACAACTGAGTCTTCTTATAAGTAAAACGGTATAGACATCACCCGAGGTGACAAAGTACCTGATCTGTAAAATGTAGATCCCAGCATGTGTCAAACATATCACAAAATAAACCAAATTTCGATGACATGTCTGCGGAGGCAGATGGTAGTTAATCTAAAATCAAATCTAATAGCCTAACAGGCACAAATTTGGACCATGGTTTATGAAATTGCATCTCTTGTACAGAAACGGGTAGTTTGAAGAGTGATTTGTTCTTGTTCTGCCGTGTTCTCATTTGGAAAAATGCCGTGGGGCCAAGCGGAGTGGGAGAAAATAGGCCACACAACTATCAAACCGGTGGAGTTTGTGTGTGTGAACTTACGAGTGGTGGTAAATGAAGTAATGGATTATCGGCCAAGATCAGTGATTTTGGTGGAGGTAAAAATTCCCGCAGTTCAGCTTCTGGGTCATCAGTGTCTTCCGGTGGCCTGTCTTCCGTATCGGTTGTTTCAGTGCAGTCTCCTTCAGTCAACTGACAGACTCCACCGTTTTCATCATCATTGCAAACGATCTCGTCAACGTCAGCCACTTCGCTTATTAAGCCCGATTCATCAAAGTCTGCCTCATCCGCATCTTTAATTAAAGCAACTGCAGCGCCAGTAGTACTCGGTACAGCTTTTGACGATGACGGTGAAGAGACGGTAATGGGATTGGAACATCCTGACTGAACAGAAGAAGGAATCACATGATCCACATCTGAGTCCGAAGTGGATAAAGAAGGCGATTCAGAAGACGTATCTTCGTTCTGCTGATCAAGGACCGAGGCTGATGCTGAATTGAAAACAGACATCATGCTATGAGAAGGAAAAACTTGAACATGAATAAAAAAACTCAACGTCAAATATCGTTCTAGGAAATGCAGTTTTGATTCTGATTGCTTTCAGAATAGAAAGTAACATATTTTCTTGTTAGTGCACATTTCGGCGTGACGAGTAATAGAAGGCACGAACGTCAGCCACAAGAACTAACTGTTCGCTAATGGGGAAAGATGATCAGAGCTCTGGGATTTCGAGTAACGAACAGTGTAAGGTGCGCGCGAACTTGGGTTCGAGGACCGCGAAGCCATCTAAGAAAAAAATCCAGTTATCAATAGTAGATTTAAGGTCCAGAGCAGACTTGATCACCATCATCCAATATCCAGGTCCTTCAGTTTCTATGCGTTTTATATCTTCTAAGAGCACGTGCTAAGACAAAATTATGAAGATCATGCCATTGCACTGTTGTAAGGTGGCGACACTCCGTAAATATGGAAATCTTTACCTACCTCGGTAGTTGCCGAAAAACTGGTGAAACGGAGACCTGATTAGGAAAAGACTGACTTCGGCCAGCCTATGACAACTACGATGCCGTAGCGACAAATTCCATTCACTAAGTTTCAGTTTACACAACCATTAGCCATGCACTTTTGTGCATCGGTTTTGGTTGCTGTCTTTTGACCGCCCATTTGGATAAAAGAGCAGAATGAAGATTGGAATGATGAGAGCAAATCCAAGTAGACTGATATTGCAGGAATGGTGAGTAGATACATGAGCACCACTGTTTGCGACACCCAGCCATATCGCTCAGTGTCCCTAAACATCGGTAACCATGACCTCGGGGTCTCCAGCGAGGGAGACTAAAGGGACATAAGTGACACAGTATCATTCAATAAAACTGTGTATTTATAGCGCAACGATACTTGCTGTGCTGTTCCACGGCTGCAACACTTAGGGTAGATGATCTTCGAAGAAAATCACCTGCTCAAGAAGCCCTATTCGCTGCCTTCACGTGGCGGTGTTTTTCATCCAAAATGAAGAATAAAAGAAGCCAACAGCTGGCGCGATTAACGACCGGCAGTTCACCTAGAGGAGTTGGATAAAAACAACAAATCTGAAAGAATCAAGAATAAGTGGACGATCCTTCGTGATCCCGGTAGAGGGCGTGGCGTGATTGGACATCAAAGCATGTTGGACATCTAAGACATTAGACTCCATTTAAAAGCCGTATGATCCGGTTTCCTGAATACCAACCTCAAAGGAACTGCGGCTTTCATATGACGTCCCGCTACCCGCTCTCAGTCACATGCAACTGATGGAAATTCTTAACGGGCAAAGATCGAATTAGGCATTCATACAATAGTGCGAACGATTCGCGTTTAACTCATTGTTACTCGTGCGTATTAGTGGGATAAGTGTTATTGGTTTGGATCAATCATCTTTCAACCTTCGCTTTCACGCCCAATCCTCTCGTCATCCATCTAACTCGAGTTTTGGTCTTATTAGGGCTTCTCGATGGTGCATGCCTTCCAAGAGTGTGAAATTTTAATTCCAGATATTTTGCATGGAAGGCGTGTGTGTATTGCCAAATAGGTCACACTGGGGTCAGCCAAGTGGTCAGATATTTTCCTCAACGAAACCCAATCAATTCACCGAAATCGGTGAATCGACCTTCACTTGAGAACAAACCTAGCTAGTTTATTTGTGCCACGTCTGTTCAAACCTAAATGAAAGACCTGATTTGCTGGGAGGCTTTCGGATAGGTTTACCAGATAGACTTATCTCCGTTCGTTTTTGGCGGTTCATATAAACGGACTATTGTCCGATCACCACGAGACCGCACCATTATGTGGTGTGATGACTTGCATGACTTCAGGACCGAGCGAGCCACCTAAGACGGCTTTTCAAAGCAGTGAATTGAATTATACATGAAAGGTCTATGGGGTGAGACTAGCCAAAGCTCAGTGTTACCGGGCCCCTCTTAGCCTTCACTATCCACAATCACCTCTGGAGAGTTCACTTCAGAAAGTAAATGCGGTGAAGAGCAGTTTATCGGCCAAAACCCCACTAAATGAACGAAGTAGAGGTCGAAAAGCTGCCTCGACTAGAACCCTTGAAAATTTGAAGTTAGACGCATGTTTTGTCTCTAAACACGACAGTTCCTGATCCAACATATTCTCAAGCTGCATGCTTCGTGCGCCGGGCGATTCGGCATTTGATACTTGCAGTGTTGCTGATGTCCGGGTGGGCTAACGCTAAGTGCTCGGTTCTTGACTGTATTTCAGTCAGTGGCCAACTGTGCTGTACGTATCGACGGTATAGCACCGACTGATTGCAGTTCGTCAGAAATGAAGGATTCGTTCTACGAAGGTTTTTCTCAATTGCTCGTAGCAGACTTAAATACTCAAGTGGGATCCCTGGATGAATCAGGAAGGCATATAAGTGACCCGCATACAACCCTAACCAACCGGACGTAAAAGAGCGATCGAGTACTTCGACTATGCGCAAACCATGGATTGTTCCATATCATTTAGGCAGCTCTATCTCATCCGGCGGAAGCATCACGCATGAATTCTCGACACGCATATACATAAGGCTCGATTGAGACTTCTGGAGACATCTGAGGCGCCGTCGTGAAACCCAGCTGTTTGTGAAGGGTCGATTATGTGCTTCCGTGGATCAGCCGGTGCTGCCCATGCAGTGCAGAAACTTGGCCATTACGAAAACAGGATAGGGATAGACTGACGGCGTTCTCACACAGCTATTTGCGCAAAAATGTACACGTCTGGTAGTGCAACCAGACAAGCAAAGTCGAGGTTAAGAACGGAGGATTAGGCATTGATGGTCATCCACTGGAGCAATTGATCGACCTCTATAAACTGCGCTGGTTAGGCGGTGCGCGAAGTTTGTCTAGATAGGTGTTGGATGGAAAAAGTAACGGGTGATCAAATCCAGACCTAGTATGAGGGTATGAAAACCCTGACCAAGAGAATCTGTCACCTTTTTTTATTACACACCTAGGTGTGATGAACAGCAGACGGGGTAAACCCCATAGTCACGAGGACCTGCTGTTCAGTGGTTGAAATGGCAACCTAAGCCCCAAAACTTGGAGTGGCGAACCACATAAGGCCCCGATAGGCTAGGCGTGGTATTGAACCGGACGACAGCAGAGCTGCCTACCACCAAAGTCGGGTGGCGGTGGCGGGGCTTGAACCTCGGACCATAGGGTCCAAAGCACGCCGGTGACAGCGACTAAACCACTGCGCCACCACCACCCCACCTGGTTCGCGTTCGGCTCCCTAGATGAGGACCTTAGGATTATTGTAACCAAAGGTTAGAGACACTGCAAGATATGGCTAAGTGTCTTAAAAAATGGTACTTGTGCATCTACCCATTCTACTTGCAACCTTAGTCTCCACGAATTCGCTATTCCTACTCTGACATTGATTTGCACCTTCCAACCTTCCTTTTAAATTTTCATCTAAAAGACAGTAACCAAAGTAGGCACGAGAAGGAGCATGATTGATGGCTGTACAAGCTGAACTGATCTACTATTAGCAAAGGCTAACTTTGAAGAAACTTGAATTTGAAGTTCTGGTCATCTC